GGGGGGGATGGCCACACTGCATTCCCTTCTCCATTCGCTTGGATCTTGGGCACACACGCACACGTGCCCAGTGTGAGTTTAAGCCACCAGGTCCAGGACTCAAGCCACGGGCGACTACATGGGAGTCCAGCAACATAGCCATTATGCCAACGGCTGGTCCCAAAGTCAAATAATTCTGAAAGAAAGGAAGGAAGGGGAGGGGAGGGAAGGGAAAGGAAAGGAAGAATCCGAGGTGAGTTTCTCTGTCTTGGGAAGGGAGGAGGATGAGAGGCAGCAGGCTGACAGCAGGATCATCGATATCCTGTAGGTGCCACTGATGACAGGTGTCTGCCCTCAGGCGCCCCCAGTTACAGAGCACCAGAGAGTGGTGATGGGCCCAAGCCCAGGAAGGTGCACTGAAGGTTCGTGCAGGCCCATGCCTCGGCAGCCACCTGGACTGCCCAACTGACCACTTCTCCGTCTCCTTCCTTCCAGTCCTGGACACACAACATCCAACGGGAGAAGGAGTTCTTGCGGAAGCTGGTGAAGGCGCGTGTCATCACTGACCTGACCAGTGGCATCTGAGTGGGGCAAGCAGCAGTCGCCGCCACCTGCACAGGAGACTTCAGACCCAGAGAAGGACAGTGCCAAGGGGCCCCACGGGCAGCAGGGCCTGGGTGGGGCCGCCAGAGCTCTGCCTGCTCCGAGGCCAGGCCCAGAGACCAGCACTCAGGCTCACTCAGCCTGGGGCCTTGAAGCCAGAGGGCCAGAAAGCTGCTAACTGTGTGCAGCAGGTCCAGCATCCAGGAGATAGGGACATAAGCAGCAAGACTGCTGCCAGAATTATTTCTCCAATCAGTGTTTGGTGTATTATCATTTTGTGAATTTGGGTAGGGGGGAGGGTGGGGATAATTTATTTTTAAATAAGGTTGGAGATGTCAAGGTTGGTCCACTTGCCGTGCAGAAAGGGGCCCATTAAAGGGCCTGTCAGGCAAATGGTACCAGGAAGCTATTTGGAGAATGCAAGAGCCGTGATCACCTGTACCCTGCGCCAGGGCTACCGGGAGGTGAGCAGGATTCCGTGCCAGCTCCCTCAAGCTCAGATACTGTTCGGCCTTCCTTGCGGAGAAGGTGAAGTATTCCCACTCACCAGCCCCTAGCTGCCCCATAGGAAAATCCTGGAGCCATCCCTTCGGAGCCAATAAGACAGCCCATGGGCTCGAGCAGAGAGCTTTACAGCTCAGGAAGTAAAGCCCAGCCCAGCTGGTGGGAATGGCTCCTCTCGCCAGCTGTGACTGATCTGCGGGACAGTGCCCCAGTCTGGACTGGCCAACCTGTCAGATGTCCTTGGCCTCAGCAATGAGTCTGCCAGGCCCTTGGGTTCTGCCTTTAGCCTGGACCAGAGGGAAGTAAGACCCAAGGACCTTGCCAGGCCCTGGCAGCCATCCCAGGCAGCCCTCGTGGAAGCAATAAAGCTCTTCCCTGAACCTGGCCTCACTTCGCTTTCTCTGACTCTCCTGGAAGACGAGAACCTCAGCAACTGTGCTGCACTGGGTCCCTTTCACTTTCCCCATCCACTGCAGGACCTAGGTAGCCTCTAGAGCTTCTCCAGCTTCACAGTCCTGTATCCTCCTTGCCTTAAGAGAGGCCAGAGGTTATCAGAAAATGTCCGGATGTCCGGAGCCTACCCCAGTGCCTCCTCGAGGAGCCAGAGTTCGGGATTGGAGCTTGCAGCTCTCCAGGGACAGAGAGCTGCAAGCACAGTGAGCCCCTGGCATGGAGCAGCCCACAGACCCACCTATTCCTGATAGCCCAGGCCCTACTTTGGGAAGGTCATGCCTGCTCCCACCATTGGCACATGGGCACACCCTCCTTCCCCTTGCCGCACACAACAGGATGGGGCCCAGCGCACCTCAGGCAGACTTCAGCAAGCACCCCCCCACACACACCTTACCCCTAGGAGCCCGGGCAAACAAACGCGTCCCTTCCTTAGCAACCCCATGCCAGTCTGAGGACCAACAAACTTAGACCTGCATGAGGTCGGGGAGAGAGCTCCCTGCCAGACATTGCCCCTGTGGCAGTGAGCGGGGTCACCAGCCCCTGCACTTTGCATGGCCACCCCAATCCAAGAGTCCAGGCAGCCCCAGGCCTTCCCACTGGTCAGCCCTAAGAACAAAGTCCTGGCCGGCCCAGGGATCACCCCTTTCCACATCCCTTCTGCCAGTCTGTCCTCAGGCAGAGTCGTCCACAGCTGAGGGGAGCAGGCTGTACCTGAGGGACAGGCAGCTGCAAACACCTCCGTCCTGCTGGAGACAAGGCTGTTTGGCACACGGCTCCAGCGCAGTTCCACCCACCGTGCCCCCTGGGTGCAGGCGGCACTGGTTACATGCCTGTACGTGGTGGCCCTGCCTGAAAAAAGTCCCAGCGCTGGGACCAGCAGATGGCGTAATGGCTACGTCCCTGGACTCTCATGTAGTTGACCGCGGTTTGAGTCCTGGACCCGATGGCTTAAACTCAGGCCGGGCGCGTGTGCATGCGTGCCCAAGATCCTGAGAGGAGAATGGAGGAGAAGGGATTGCGGCATGGCCATCCTCCCCCAACCCCAGGGGACAGGGGTGATTTCTCACTTTCTGTCTCTCTGGTGAGCACACGCACCCCATAGCAAAAACCTCTCCAAAGAGAAAAAAGTCCCAGCACAACTGCCCCCCACTGGGGTCCGGTTGAGCCCATGGACAGCCCCCCCCCCGACACACACCCCAGCAGCAGTTCTCTGCAGTCCAACTTCCCACCGCTGCACAAACTACCCCCAAAAGCCGTGGCAGCAGCCCTGGCCCGGCTCCACAAGCACCTGTGCAGATGTGGAAAGCTGCTCATACCTGCCCCGAGATTCTGATTCAGGCCTGGGGTGGGGCCCGGATGTGGGTAGTTGTAAAGGTCTCCGGTGATTCTGATGCACAGCCAGGCACAGCTGGTCCTCACACGTTCGGAGCTCCCATCCCCACCCAGTTTCCAGTGGTCGGGCGATAGTTCCCACATGGCCAGTGCCAGCCCAGCTCTCGCCACCACTCCAGGCTACAAATTCGGCTGTTTCCTAAACACCTCCACTAGGCTGACCCGCGTCCAACCCTGAGTTCAGGAGCACCTTCCCCTGTGCCTCCTCCTCCAGGGAGCTCCAGCTCTTCCCCTACCTAGTCCTCCCCTCCCCCATCCAATCAGGCACCAACTGGGTTTTCAAAAGGGTGTGCTCCAGATTGGGCGCATGGAGCCCCACCGTCCCGCAGCCATGTCTCAGACCCCACTCTCCCGCAGTGGCTCCTGACCGCCAGCTCACCTGCCTTGCCTGTCTCCAATCACCCACTAAAAGGCGTATCTGATCACACTGTTCTGCTCAAAACCCGTCAATGGTCCCCAGCGTCACTGAAGGCCCCTTCCCGGCACCTTAGTATGACTTTCGGACAGTGATACTCGCTCAGCACCGCCCCCCCCATGGCCATAAGGCATCCGCAGTGCTGCCTCCAGCTCCCACTCAGGCCTCAGCTCAGATGTGCCTCCGCTGTGACCCTCCCGGTGTCAGCCCTCAGCACCGGCTCCCACCAGCAGGGCCTCCTCTTGCCTCTCCTTCCCTGTGCGGCGAAGCAGTGGCGGGGCGTGTGTGCCCTACTCCGAGCCCCAGCAGCAGGACAAGAGCGGGGTCACTAGGGCACAGCCCTGGAAAGCCTGGCGCAGATCCGACCCAACCAGTCGCATGGACCGTCTGTTGAGAAAGCAAACCAGCAGTGGAGCAGAGAGGAAAGCAGCAGCCGCAGGGCAGCCAGCCGGGACCCCCGAGTGGCCCGAGGCAGGGACCGGCCTGTCCCTACTCCCCGCCCTCATCGCCTCTCCCGCCCTCGGCCCAGCCTCCCAGCAGCTCCCTACTTCGCGTGTCTACAAACTGAACTCCCAGTTTCCGCGCCACTCGGCTTCCCACATTCTCCACTCTGTAACGGGGTCCTTCCCAACACCTCCTCCCCACCTCGGGGGTCCCAGCTGAGCCCAGAGAGACCGGATCCAGCATCCAGCGGGTGGAGCGGCCAGGTGAGCCCTGAAAGGTGGGGCGGGGCGGGGGCGCTCTGGGCCCCACCCCGAGATCCGGTGACGCCGCCGGGGGCTGGAATTTGACACCGGACCGGACCAGCGGGAGGCTGCTGAGGGATGGAGTCGGGCCTGGCCCCCAGACACGGCCCACGGGCTCCACCAACAGCAGGTCCCTCAAGCCCCAGCCCTCACTGCGACCTGGGCCTGGAGCCCCATACCCGAGGTAAGCCAGCCCACTTGCCACATCCCCTGTCCCAGCACTGAGTGGACACTGGGGGGCTGGGGGAGTGGGCAGGACCGTCCCCCTCCACTGCTTTCTGGCATCTTCCCTCTCAGCCTGCAGCAGAGCTCTCCGCCCTCCCAGCCCCTCAGTCCCTCTCTCCTGTCCCAGAGCTAGTCCTGCCGGCCCCCTGTAATGTGAGGCTCTCGCCGCCACAGGGCACAGACTGGCTGGCAAGGCCGCCCCTTCCGCCCCAAGAGGGGCCCGCC